AAAGTTTATTCTTCCTCCAGCTTCCAGTTGAGAGTCGCCAACCACCAAGCTCTCCTTGGAAGCTATGACTTCAATATGTGGCAAGCCATGGCCAAGTTCGAGGATAGATTTCACGAGGACACCAGGAAGGAGTTTTTGGCAATTCTGGAGGAGGGCATTGACATTCCGCAAGGTCTCCCTGGCCTCCATCATCCCCTTCCTGGATCCAGGAGACTGGTATGCCCCCCTCGACTTGAAGGACGCGTACTTTCATATAGCAATCTTCCAAGGACAGACACACTTCCTACACTTCACAGTGATATCAGACCACTACCCATTTGCGGTCCTCCCTTTCAGCCTAGTGACAGCACCGAGGGTGTTTCCCAAGTGCATATCGGTGGTAGCAGCTTACCTCAGGTATCGGAGTATTCAGATATACCCGTATCTCAATGACTGGCTGGTCAAAGGCCGCTCCAGGTCTCAAGTCCAATGGGATATCGCGTACTACAGATCACATGCCGGTCCCTGAGCCTGTTGGTGGATGACAAGAAGTAAACGTTAGTTCCGGTGCAAAGGATAGAGTTCATCAGAACGGTGCTCGACTCCACCTGCACAAGAGCTTTCCTGCCTCAAAACAGGTTCCGGACGATGGTAGACCTCCGCGTCCCTCTGACCACGGCCCCGGTATGCCTCCAGTTGCTCGGCCACATGGCAGCCTATACATATGTCGTCCACCATGCAAGACTTAGCATGCGACTTCTCCAGCAGTGGCTGTCGATGGTCTATTCCCAGTCCAGAGATCATCTGGACAAGGTTGCCATCGTCCCGCCAGAGATACTTACCTCTCTGCAATGGTGGACCGACTCCAAGGCAGCCCTAGGCGGAGTCCCATTCAACATTCCATGCCCCTTGGTCGAACTGAAGTGAGATGCCTCGGACCTTGGCTGGGGCGTGCATCAAGGTGCATTGCAGACCCAAGGTATGTGGTCGCCAGAGGAACTGACGTTGCACATAAATATCAGAGAGCTCAGAGCAGTTTGCCTGGCCTGCAGAGTTTTCCTGCCACATCTCTCAGGCAAAGTGGTTAGGGTGTTGACAGACAATACGGCCTCTATGTTCTACATCTACAGGCAAGGGGGAGTGCGCTCGTTGGCTCTCTGTCAAGAGGCGCTCTGTCTATGGGATTTCTGCATCAAGCACGCAATCCATCTGGAGGCCTGTCATCTTCCCGATGTCAGGAATATGCTGGCAAATTGCCTCAGCAGGTCCTTTTCCTCTCACCACGAGTAGTCGCTCCATCCAGAGGTAGCCCACATGCTCTTCCAGAGGTGGGGAACTCCCCAGGTGGACCTGTTCGCCACCAGATAGAACAGGAAATGTCATCAGTTCTGTTCCCTGCAGGGGCTGGGCAAGGACTCTCTCCCCGATGCCTTCCTTCTGTCATGGTCGGGGGCTCTGATGCCTGCGTTCCCGCCGATCCCGCTCATCAGCAGAGTCCTGTCAAAGATCAAGAGGGACAAGGCCAAAGTCATCATGATTGCCCCGGCGTGGCCGTGCTGGCATTGGTTTGGCACGCTAATGGACCTGGCAACGACCACCCCCTGACCCCTCCCAACCAGCCGGATCTGCTCTCACAAGACCATAGTCACCTCCTGCACCCCATCTTTACCTCCCTCCACCTCATGCCGTAGATGTTGTGTGGTTGAATGCAGAGGAACGGGCCTGCTCTAATGAGGTCCAACAAGTCCTCTTGGAAAGCAGGAAGCCATCCACTAGAGCAACCTACCGGGCCAAGTGAATGAGGTTCTCCCACTGGGCATCTGAGCATGTTATCTCTCTGTTGCACTCCTCCTTACAATCCATCCTGGAGTACCTGCTCCATCTTAAGAACCAGGGACTGGCCCTCTCTTCCATCAGGATGCACCTGATGGCTATCTCCGCATTTCACCCGCCGTTCCAGAGTCGGACTGTGTTCTCCCATGACATGTTGATCAGATTCCAGAGAGGCCTCAAGAGACTCTTCCCACCGGTTCGGGCTCCTGCTCCACAGTGGGACCTTAACTTGGTTCTCTCTAGGCTCATGGGCCCACCCTTCAAACCTATGGGCTCCTGCTCCCTTTCCCACCTGTCATGGAAAGTCGCTTTCCTTGTGGCGATAACATCAGTGAGATGAATGTCAGAGATCAAAGCCCTCACATAGGAGCCGCCATATACTGTGTTCTACAAGGACAAAGTTCAATTGTGAACCCATCCAGCCTTTCTGCCGAAGGTGGTGTCCTCCTACCATGTCAATCAGGACATCTTCCTCCTGGTGTTTTGCCACAAGCCACATGCCAAAAGTGAGGAAAGGAGGCTGCACATGGTGGACATCAGACGTCCCCTGGCGTTTTACCTGGAGTGTACCAACCCCTTCTGCAGGTCAACCTAGCTTTTCATCTCTACAGCAGATAGGATGAAGGGCCTTCTGGTGTCCTCGCAGAGAATTTCCAACTGGATCACCTTCTGCATCCGGACCTGTTACCAGTTGGCAAAGGTCCCACCACCACCGATTGTGAGGGCCCATTCGACCAGAGCTCAGGCATTCTCGGCGGCCTTCCTGGCGTACATTCCCATCCAGGACATTTGCAGAGTCGTGACGTGGTCTTCAGTTCAAATGTTCACAGCGCATTACGCCATCACTCAGCAAACCAGAGATGATGCTGGGTTCGGCAGAGCTGTGCTGCAATCTATATGCCTATGAACTTCTACCCGCCTCCATTGGTACTGCTTGGGAGTCACCTAATAGTGAATGGACATGAGCAGGCACTAGAAGAAGAAAAGACAGTTACCTTTTCCGTAACTGGTGTTCTTCAAGATGTGTTGCTCATGTCCATTCCATGACCTGCCCTCCTTCCCCACTATCGGAGTTTCTGGCGAGAAGGAACTGAGGGTGAAGGGGGCTGGCAGCGCCCCTTATACCGCGACATGCACGTGCCACTGAGGGAAAAACTTCCATCACCGGTTCATGTGGCGAGCACACACACCTAATATGGAATGGACATGAGCAACACATCTCAAAGAACACCAGTTATAGAACAGGTAACTGTCTTTTTTTTTAAACATTACACCCTGTTCCATGATGTCAAGTCTGATGTGGCTCTTGGTTCTGCAGTTTTGAATTCTGGGGATACTGCTCGAAAGTCACGTGAAGTGGAGCAGCCATAGGAATACTAGTCAAAGAAGAAGTGGTTATTCACCTTCTGCCATAACTGCAGTTCTTCGAGATGTGTCCCCTATGGATGCTCCACCACCCGCCCTCCTTCCTCTCTGCTTCGAATTGCTCCTTGGGGGTTGTTTGGGTGGAGAAGGAGCTGAGAGTGGTTCACCCACGCACTCCTATATAGCCTTGGTATCCAGCCTGAAGAGGCATAGGACACATATGCTTGCCAAACAGACGCTGCTAACAGAAAATCTCTGAACATTCATAGGGGGACACATCTCGAAGAACCAGAGTTACTGCACAAGTTGAATGACCTCTCCTCCCATCTAAATCCTTTCTGCATTAAAATAGAGATTATAATATCAATTTTAGAACATCTCTGCTGAGCAATAAACAGATATATGCAAATAACCTTTCTAGATGCACAAGATATGCACATATATTAATATCTGCTCCTAACGGTTTTCTAAAGCTTTCAAATAGTCTTAACTGTCTTGTTTACTAATACTGCTTATTCAGATAAATTATTGCTACAAATATATGATGAAACCTTGGCTTCACTGAAATCAGTGAGAGTTTTACCATTGACTTCAGTGGGGTCAGGATATGACTAATTGTGTTTCAGATTTAAATATAGAACAAACTAACAACAAAATTCTTTTGAAACCACAGATATGGACATTCATTGATACAAATTATTTCATGTGGTGTGGCTTTATGTATCAGGCCCCAGTTAATGGTTTTCATTTCATTATGTCTCTAATTGAGATCTCCATTAAACAGAAGACACAGCATTTAAGTTCCCGAGCCATGCATTCATTTTTTGTTACTAAATTGTTTGCTATATTCTGAATGGAGCCCAGCTATCCAAAAACTGAAAACCATGAAAAAACACTTGTTTTAAGTACAAAACACATCTGAAAAGGCATTAAGTGGCTCATGCATTTTGAATATCACTTGTTTACAATTTGTTATAAGCAGTAATATGGGCCAAAAACTGCAACAGTTCTTGAACCTAAGAGAGCTCACAGGTATCCAGACAAGCTGTGCTGACAGTTTTCTTCTCACTAAACTTCATCTAAGCATGTTGAATGTGCTCAGAACCCACTTGTGCTTATGTGTTTTGCAAGAAGCAGCAATCCCTTCTTTCCAAGAAAAAGAATATAACAACTACTTCTTAACAAGAACATAATTTATTGGACTTCTTCATGATGCTTAAAGGCATTGGGACAGATTTTCTTATCACAGTAAAAAAAACTCTCTTCAGCTGAGGATCTGGTCCAACATTTTGTGGTGTTTGTTGTTGTTTGAGAGAATACAATATAGCTACAGTAGAACCTCAGAATTACGAACAGCTTAGGAATGGAGGTTGTTCGTAACTCTAAAATGTTTGTAACTCTGAAAAAAACGTTATGGTTCTTTCAAAAGTTTACAAATGAACATTGACTTAATACAGCTTTGAAACTTAACTATGCAGAAGACAAATGCTGCTTTTAACCATCTTAATTTAAATGAAACAAGCACAAAAACAGTTTCCTTACCTTGTCAACACTTTTTTAAAAAAAAACCTTTCCCTTTATTTTTTTAGTAGTTTACATTTAACACAGTACCGTACTGTATTTGCTTTTTTGTTTGGTTGGTTGATTTGGTTTTTTTGTTGACTGACTTCTGTAGTGCACAATCAGGCCCTATAGATACTTCATTTACTCAACTCAAGAAAGTGACTTTGCATGTGATCCTATATATAATGTGCCATCCTTTCTTGTGATAATACAAGTAATTACAACATTTTAACCTTTGTCTTTATTTTCTCATTTTTCAGTGTCTTGTGTTTGAAGATTCTCCACTTGGAGTGCAAGCAGCATTGGCAGCTGGGATGCAAGTGGTTATGATTCCAGATGAAAATTTGAATCAAGATCTTACAAAGGAAGCAAATCTAGTGCTGAAATCTATGGAGGACTTTGAACCAGAACTGTTTGGTTTACCACCATATGACTAAGGACTAATATATTTCTGCATGTTCTTAGTTGGAGATTGGGGGGCAGGGAATGAAAATTTAGAGTAAAAAATTACCTATTTTTCATTTTTCTTTCCAAAATAAAACAATGAAGTCTTTCATGATTTACTTTTAAATTTCACTGGATACTCTTGGTTTGTCTTCTTCAGTGCTAAGTGGAAGGAATGTTTCTTCTTGCCTATCCTTCACCTCTACTAGTCTTGTCTTCTGCATAATGTCATGTACACTCAGTGCATTTGCAAAACTGCAAAGACAATCTGCTTCAAACATATGGAGGTTTTTGCTCTGGTTTGCTTGAATAACAGACTGCTTAGAACAATGGTTCTCAATATAAGACTGTTGTCCCCTTATACCATTGTGCGGCATAGTTGCCACCACCTATCCTTTGCCTATCCCTTTGTCTTCCCTGTTTGTATCTTCTGGTTGGATTTTTTGTTTTTGTGTGTTTTACTTTCATGTTGTTCTTTTTTGTTCTCTTCTTTTGTGACTTCCCCTTTCTGGAATGGGGTGGAGGGGGAACCCTTCTCAGCTTCCTATGGCCATATGCTCTTGCAGCTCAGCTGAGCTCTGTGTAAGCCTGTGTAAGTCTACTACCCCGTCTCATTTCACATAGCCTCTTCCCCATTCGTTTTGCTCCCCCAACGATGCCAGCCTTGTCTGTCCATTTTCAGCTTCTCACATAAACCTTTCTGTGTTTTTTCCATTCTTTCATGCTGCCCCCTTTAGCCTTCATGAGCCTTCACAAGGCCCCCTATCATCTCCACAGTTAAATCCTTCTGAAGACTCTTTACATTTTTACAGAGAATTCTGTTGATTTAATACCAAAAGTAATATTTTTGTTTGTTTTGTAGCTTAATCTTATTTTGCCAAGCACCATCTTTGCTACCCTATATGTTATATTCATTCCTGCTAACCTGGGTCCATTTCTGTCTATCTTTAGATTGTGAGCTGTTCAGGAAAGTGACTGTATTTTCTTTTTGGAAAGTATCAAGCCCATTGTGAGTGCTACCATAAACAAACAAACAAATAAGTATAATTTGTACGGTGCAACATATCCAGGGTTGTTAAAATTCTTGTTCCCTACTGCTCTTCTCCTCTGTGTCTTGACTTCCCTGTACTACTTTGCCCCAGCCCCTGGATTGGGAAACACTAGTTTAAAAGATCTTTACTCTTGTATGGAGATAATGATTGCATTCTAAGTTTGGGGAAAAAAATAACCTTTTAGCTGTGGTAAGTCCTAAATTACTCTCGTAATCACAGTAAAACTTCTTCCATGAAAATAGTGAATGTAAAAAATGTTGAAAATAAAAAACAGGTATTTTATTTCATTGAATAATATCAGAAGTTTCCTTCTATTATGCCTGTGAAAATAAATTAAATGGTTGAATGATTAGAGTGCTGTTTGTTCATTTTTTTAATAAGTGGACTGTTAAGATAACAGAATGTAACTCAAACAAGAACTCAGAGGTGAAATATTTTTTTCTAGCATTTCTGCAGCTCACTTTTAATTTGTATTTGTTTTTAATACAAAGCAAAAAATAAAAGAACATTGGAAGACTCGCTAAAATTCTTAAAGCTATCACATGGATTTTTTTTTTAATTGTGGTTTTCTACTAAGAAAAACAAATCCAAATGTGTTTACACTTTTTGAAAGCAAATTTAAAACAGTCTGTATCTCTGAGTACACTATTTAAATACCTTAAAAATTAAGAATATCCTATTGCAAACTATCAGTAGATTATTAATTGGATGGTATCAGAAAAATATTGTCAAGCACAATAATAGTAATAGTTTTTCATCTGCAATGCCTTTCCTCCAAGGATCTGAAAGTGCAGGTGGGTGAATATTGTTTACTGTCATATTATTTTGCATATAATTTTGTATAACCCTTTGTTGAAGTTCTAGTGACTATTTATATTGTATCTACAATCCAACTAAAGTAATGTAAATTCTACCTCTTCTGTTGCCATTCAAGATAATAGAAATGCTATTGCACAGTTCCTTCATGGCTAATGTTGCATATCAGAAAGTGTTACCATACAGCAATAATTCTGAGCTTTCAAGTGTAAAACAGGTGCCTTTGGGGATCCCTTTAGTTCATAATTGCTGAATTCCAACTGGGAACTTATTAGGTAGAACAAGCTCTAATAAGTTGTAATTAGTAACTTTTTCAAAGTGCTGTATACATTTAATTGAACTTGGAGTTTAAAAAAAAAAAATCAAGGCACATGTCACATTTACAAAGTTGTTCCAAAGGGCCTCTCACCAAAGCATTACAAATACTTTCTTAAGACATATACGCTTAGATAAATATTGGATATTTATGGCAAAACAAAAGTTCATTGGCAGTGCCACCATGGGAAAATGGATATTCAATCAGGATGCAACCCCATGCTATTACCCAAAATGGTCACGGATGCAACCCCATGCTCTGGGTGTCCCTAAGCCTCGAACTGCCAGATGCTCAGACTGGACAACAGGGGATGGAACACTTCGTGATTGTTCTGTTCTGTTCATACCCTCTGAAGCATCTGGTATTGGCCACTGTCGGAAGACAGGACATTGGGCTAGAAGAACCATTGGTCTGGCCAAGGCTGGCCATTTTTATGTTCTTATGAATGAATATAAATTCTGTTCCCTTCAATTCTGGTATAGTTAATGGTTTCATCTTTTACTGAGCAAATTAACATAGAAAACTCCCCTTAACCCAGCAGTAAATCCCATTCAATACAGCCATCTTTTATTACACTTAATCTCATAGACTCCTAGATTTTTAAGGCCAGAAGGAACCATCATGATCACCTACTCTGACCTCCTGCATATTGCAGGCCACAGAACTGCACCCTCCCACACCTGTAATAGACCCCTAACCTCTGCTGAGTTACTGAAGCCCTCAAATAATGATTTAAAGACTTCAAGTTACAGAGAATCCACCATTTACACTAGTTTAAACCTGCAAGTGACCTATCCCCCATGCTGCAGAGGAAGGCAAAAAACCTGCCAGTCTGACCGGGGGCGAAATTCCTTCCCAACCCTAAATATGGTGATCATTTAGACTCTGAGCATGTGGGCAAGACCACCAGCCAGACACCTGGTAAAGAATTTACTGTAGTAAGTCAGAGCCCTCCCTATCTAGTGTCCCGTCAGCAGCCATTGGAGATATTTGCTTCCAGCAGTCACACATCAGCTACATATCATTGTAGGCAGTCTCATCATACCTCCATAGACTTATCAAGCTCATTCTTGAAGCCACTTAGTTTTTTTGTCCCCGCTGCTCCCCTTGGAAGGCTGTTCCAGAACTTCACTCCTCTGATGCTTACAAACCTTTGTCTAATTTCAAGCTTAAACTTGTTGGTGGACAGTTTATATCCATTTGTTCTTGTGTCCACATTGGTGCTTAAATAACTCCTCCCCTTCCCTGGTATTTATCCCTCTGATGTATTTATAGAGAGCAATCATATCTCCCCTCAGCCTTCTTTTGGTTAGGCTAAACAAGCCATGCTCTTTGAATCTCCTCTCAGAAGATAGGTTTTCCATTCTTCTGATCATCCTAGTAGTCCTTCTCTGCACCTGTTCCAGTTTGAATTCATCTTTTTTAAACATGGGAGACCAGAATTGCACACAATATTCCAGATGAAATCTCACCAGTGCCTTGTATAATGGTACTAACACTTCCCTGTCTCTTCTGGAAATACCTTGCCTGGTGCATTAGCTAGGATTGCATTAGCCTTTTTCACGGACACATCACATTGACTGCTCATAGTCATCCTGTGATCAACCCGTACACCCAGGTCTTTCTCCTACTGTGTCACTTCCAACTAAGTCCCCAGTTTATAGCAAAAATTGTTTTTGTTAGTCCCTAGGTGCATGACCTTGCACTTTGCACTATAAAATTTTATCCCATTTCTATTATTCCACTTTTCAAGTTCGTCCAGATCTTCTTGTATGATATTCTGGTCCTCCTTTGTATTGGCAATAGCTCCCAACTTTGTGTCACCTGCAAATTTTGTTAGCACTTTTTGTGCCATATTAGGCTTCTATCAAATGAGATAATTTCTCCTAACTGTAATCCTTCAAACTGGGTCAGACAAAGGATGCCTCACTTCCTACTTAGTAAACATCAAGACACATCCCAAAGAGATGTAGCCTCCTTGAAGGTCAAGCACCACCCAGATCAATCTCTGGCTAGGTCCTTAAGACAATCTAGCTGGATGTTTGGTATGTGTCCTTCATTGGCAATTTTATCATGCCATCAAAGCATTTGGCAACCATGTGATCAGCAACTGTGTAGTGGCATTCCTCAGTAAACACACTTTGCAATCTGTTGGTCTTCCGTGCTACTAATACTAATATGTCAATACCAATAAAGCTGCTGAAACTGAAACAGGGCTGATGGAGGCACTTGCTGGGTTTGGCTATTAATAGCCTTATTGCTGATTTTGTCCTGCCACTTAATATGGAGCAGCTGATGAAGATGAGAATCAAAAATGTCAATCTGCTGCTCTTCAGCCTACCTCAGTGTCCACATTTAACTGGCATATAATAAAGTTGGTATAACTATGGTTCTGTAAATCTGCAGCTTTGTAGCAAGGTTGGTGTCCTGACATCTCCACAGAGGCCATCAAAGGGCCCAGAATTTGGCAGGGGCTGCTACTATATGAGCAGCCACATCTTTCAAGCATCCTCCAGCTATGTGTGTGACACTTTCCAAGTATTTGATAGTTCTGCCTGCTGAGTAACCCATCTAGTCAGGCTAATATTGAGCTGGTTAAAAGCAACAGAGTCCTGTGGCACCTTTAAGACTAACAGATGTATTGGAGCATAAGCTTTCGTGGGTGAATACCCACTTCGACAGACGCATGTAATGGCCAGACACGTGTCTGACGAAGTGGGTATTCACTCACGAAAGCTTATGCTCCAATACATCTGTTAGTCTTAAAGGTGCCACAGGACTCTCTGTTGCTTTTTACAGATCCAGACTAACATGGCTACCCCTCTAATAATTGAGCTGG